CATGTCCCACACAGTTCATTGGTAAGGTAAAGGTTTCCCTCACACATATGTGCTAGTCAACTCTAGGAGGCAGTGCTCATCTCCATTTCAAAGCCAAAGAGCCAGCGCTGTCTGAAGATGTCTCCGTGGTCATATGGCCAGCATGACTAAATGCAGAAGGCACATAGAATGCTGTTACCTTCCCATCAAAGGTGGTTCCTATTTTATTACTTGCATTTTTACATGCTTTCAAACTGCTAGGTTGGCAGGAGCTGTGACAAGTAATGGGAGTTCATTCTGTTACACAGCACTAGGGATTCAAACTGCTGAATTGCTTGACCAATTCTGATCGACAAACTCAGCATCTTAGCCACTGAGCCACCATGTCCCACAGTTCATTGGTAACTTTGGGATAATCACAAATTCTCAGCTTATGTTACCCGGCTAGCTTGTGGTTTGTGAGAAAAAATAAGCAGAACTCACTTGTATAAATCCCTGAGCACAAAGGGGAAAGCTGTGATATTGATATAATGCTAAACAAATAAATAATGTGATTTCTTCTATCTGCAGTCTAAAGTCATAAAGTACCGAAAGGATTCCTCACATGCACGTATTAAATAGTATAGCTTTCAGTTGAAATTTCTGTTTATACTCCAGAGAATCAGAGTTTCCTTCAGATTGGTATTAACTCACATCAGAACAGAACAATTCTCCAAGAAATGAGCAATGTAGCATTATGAAATGAAATATTTTACTTTGGAAGGATTTGTTCTAAATAGCTGATGTATTTCCAAAACTGAAAAAGAGGAAGAAAATCAATGGCAGTTGTATACATACTATTTGTTTTTGTTTTTCTTTAATTCATGCCAGCTGTGCACTGGACAACCAACCATACCTCATTAATTTCAAACAATGGTAAACCAAAAACTACTTGGGATTATGCTAACTGAACACAGAAGCCAGAATGAGGCCATGTTTAATAAGAATATGAAAATATGAACAGATCATAGTAAAAGAGAACAGTAGCAGGTGATACAAAGTCAGTTTATTAATTCACATTATATTCTCAGTGTCAGATCCCTAAAAGTGATACTGCCATTCAATTGGGAGGAGAGGAGCTTCAGAGTTAAACCATTAGCTACATCTGAAACAACTGAGTTTTATAACTTTACAACTGGTTTCCTGTCACTGGGAGACTGAAAGTCCCAACATCTCTGGAGGGATGTTTATGGTAGCCATGTGGGATATATATCCTTGATGTCTAACGAGATATAGCCATGGGANGCCTTAGGCATGAAAGCCGGCTGGGTGACTTTGGGCCAATCACCAGGAGACAGTGAGTTCTAGTCCTGCCTTAGGCATGAAAGCCGGCTGGGTGACTTTGGGCCAATCACCAGGAGACAGTGAATTCTAGTCCTGCCTTAGGCTGGGTGACTTTGGGCCAATCACCAGGAGACAGTGAGTTCTAGTCCTGCCTTAGGCATCAAAGCTGGCTGAGTGACGTTGGGCGAATCACCAGGAGACAGTGAATTCTAGTCCTGCCTTAGGCTGGGTGACTTTGGGCCAATCACCAGGAGACAGTGAGTTCTAGTCCTGCCTTAGGCATGAAAGCCATCTGAGTGACTTAGGGTCAACCCACCTCACAGGGCCATCGTAGGGAAAGAGGGGAGGAAAGAGTATTAAGAATGCTCACCCACCTTGAATCACTAATACATAAAGGCAGGATTAAAAAGGATCTTAATCTAATTCAGCTAGCGAATCCACAGTCAACTGACTGGATCCGTGATATGATCACAAACGAAAGGTTTGATTCTCTTCCAAGCCGGAGGGGGCCTGCAGCTGCAGTGTGACTCTCTGGCAGGGAGTTTTGCAGGTGGAGTCCCTCCTTTCTGTAATTCCCCCATTGCTACACATTCCCAGGTTTAAGGAGAAAACTCCCTTCCAACAACGGAAGCAAGACGACGCCTCCTTACCAGCTCCGATGCGCCCGGGGTTCGGCCTAATTTCGCCACCACAAAGAGGCGCTGGATGCGTGCCCAGATGGAGATGTCTTCCGCGGGCCCAGAGCTGCTCACCAGGGGGTGAATGAATCCCTTGTAGACCAGCGAGACGTCCATCTCTGTGCTGGGATTCAGGGTGATGGTGGTGCTTCGGACGATGGAGACCTATGGCGAGCAATAGCAGTAGCGCTTACGGGCTTATGCGCCACTTCACTCTGCTTTATAGCCCTCTCTAAGCAGTTGACAGAGTCAGGCTCTTGCCCCCCCCAACAATCTGGACCCTCATTTGACCCGCCTCGGAAGGAGGCAAAGCTGAGTCCAAACTTGAGGTCAGGATTGAACTGCTGGCAGTATGGCAGAGTTAGTCTACAATACTGCATTATAACCACTGCTGCAGCATGGCGGGCAGGCGGGAAGGAAGGAAGGAAGGAAGGAAGGAAGGAAGGAAGGAAAGGAAGGAAGGATAGTCCTTAGACGTATATACCGCTTCACAGTGCTTTACAGCCCTCTCTAAGCGGATTACAGAGTCAGCCTCTTTTGCCCCCAACAATTTGGGTCCTCATTTTACTGACCTCAGAAGGACAGAAGGCTGAGTCAGCCTTGAGCCAGTCAGGATCAAACTGCTGGCAGTGAGCAGAGATAGGCTACAATACTGCATTTTAACCACTGCACACCATGGAAAGACAAGGGAGAGTAATCCAGAAACCAACAGTGAGTTGTTCCGGGATGCACGCCGCCGAAGAGCTACTCGACGTCAAGAACACCTATGTCATTACAGGACGTAATTACGCTCAGCTGATGGTCATTAGGCTCCCCTCCAGACTATA